GCTCAGGCATGCTCGCCCCTGGCTTCGCTGAGCAATGGGACGGCCAAGTCGCAGAGTTGCGGCGTCTGGCACAGCGCGTTGCCACAGCAGGTGCCGCGGCGGAGCGCGACGGGAGCGGCGACGAGCAGGAGATCGACGAGAAGGACGTCGACGTCATCCTGGACTCCCTGGAGGAAGAGGCCACCGAGGAGGGGGCAGCAGAGGCCGTGGCGGGCGAGGTGGGCAACGGCGAGGCAGCAGGCGACGCCGCAGCCAAGGCCGCCGCAGCCGCCGCCATGCGCAAGCTTCGTGCCCAGAAGCTCCTCCAAGGCCTCCGCTCCGCGGGGATACGCAGAAGGGGGAAGCGGGGGTAGCCGCCCCCACTTCACCATCGTGAGCCTCAACGGCAGCGGATGGGGCCCTTTCACCACCATCCTCGGCGAGCAGCAGGACCCGCAACAGCAGGCGGTGGCGGTGGCTCACCTCGGCGACGCACTGTGCATCCAGGAGCACCACCTCAACGGCTACCGCGCCGTGGAGCAGGAGCAGTGGTGTCGGCAGGTTGGCTGGAGCGCCGTGCTGACCCCAGGGGTGGGCTCGGTCGGCGCAGGCCTCCAGCGCGCCGTCAGCAGCGGCACTGGCGTGGCCGTGCGCACCTCGCGTGGCATGTGCGGGCCAGGCGATGGCGGCAGCAAGGACAGCTGCCACGCAGCCGAGGGCCGCGCTACCATCGTGCACATCAATGGCCTCGTGCCTGGAGGCTTCCTGCTGGGCTCGGTCTACCTGGACAACGACGACGTGGGCGAGCGCAGCCAGAGCGTCTTGCAGCAGGTTGGAGCCACGCTGAAGTGCACTGGCAAGCCCTGGGTCCTGGCGGGGGACTGGAACGTCGAGCCTGGCAGGTTCCACCTCCGCGCGGGGCACTGGCTGCGCAAGCTGGGCGGACACGTCGTCGACACGGGCAAGGGCACCTGCCAGCACTCCCCCGTCAAGGAGCCATCTGAGCTCGATTGGTTCATCGTCAGCGTAGATATGCTGGACCTCGTCAGCGGGTGCGAGCGCCTCAACATGACGGAGCAGGGCTACGCCAACCCGTGCAGGCCCCACATCGGGGTCAAGCTCTCCTTGGCTTGTCAGGGCGACATTGGCCAGTCATTCCGCGTCAAAGGCCCCGCAGCCTTTCCCAAGGACAGGCCTTATGGGCCTATGCCAGCCAAGGAGTGGAACCACGACGAGTTGCGGGACGCTATCGGCGTGGGGGAGGACACGCAGGCAATGGCGGGGGTAGACCGCGCCCTGTGCCGGGGAGTGGAGAACGAGCTCGTCTGGATCTACCAGATCCCGCCTGACGACGCCAGTTTGCACCGTGGCCGCGGGGGCCCGCCGAGCTTCAGCTTCGGCACGCAGGCCAGGGCGCGCCCCATCAAGGGGCCCAAGGCCAGCTACAAGGGCAAGAAGCTCATGCATCTGAGCGACTATTTCACGCAGCTCCATCAGCTCGTCGGCGGAGGCTCGGATGCCGTTTCTTCGGCAGGGCTCATCCAGTGCCAGCTGGACAACGACGAGCGGGCGGCGGAGCGTATGGAGGCCAGGGCAATCAAGCGCTACAAGCGGGTGCTCGGGCGCCGTGCCCGCGGGTGGGTCTCCAACCCCAGCAACCCCGACCACTACGCGGACGAGAACGAGTGGTTGGAAAATTGCGTGCCCTACATCTTTCGCATGCTGGGGCTGCCGACGCACATTGCGACGGGCCTGGCCCAGAACTTTGGGCGTCGCCTGCAGACGGCCAGGGAAGTATGCGAGTCTGCCTGGCGTCGCGGCGGCACAGGCAGGCATGAGCTGGTGCGCATTCTTCAGCAGCTAGGCCTTCTCGACCCCGACTGCTGGGAGGAGGAGCTGCGCAGGACGGCGGACAGCTACCACGAGTCCAGGCGTTGGCTGGAGGAGCGGGGTGGCTACAGCAGGCCCCTCCCAGGCGCGCCCATCGTCCACGGCTATCCCGAGACGGAGAATGGCATACGCGACGTCGCTCCCCTACCACCAGTGCTTCGCAGGCCTGCCACCTGCCCAATGGACGCGGGGGGGTGGAGTGCCATCGAGGTGGGTGAGGCAGGCGTCAGGCGCACACTGGCGCGACTGGCCAACGGCTGGCTGCCGCGCCTGCACGCCCCCGACGCGCAGCAGGACAAGGTAGAGTGGATGGACCTCTGCACGCACTACGCCTACGAGCGCCTCAGCCAGTACGAGGGTGGCAATGGCGACGAGGGTGAGCAGGTCGGCGTCACAGAGGGCCAGTCTGACGGGGCGGGGATGGGAGCCGCATCTGCGGACGGGGACAGCGCGATCCCACCCCAGCCCCAAGTGAACTCCTTCGCGAGCCTCGCAGCGGCAGCGGCAGCCAGCAGTGCGAGGGCCACTGGAGAGGGCGTCAGCGATGCGTCGGCGTCGGGGGCGGGAAAGGGGAGCCGCATCAGCGGAGGGTATCAGCGTGATCCCACCCCCGCCCCCTCGCGCCAGCTCGGCTCGGCCGTTTGATGATGATGATGATGATGATGATGATGATGATGATGATGATGATGATGATGATGATGGGAGGAGGGAGGGGGGGAGGAGGGGGAGGAGGTGAGGAACGCGGGGCGCCGTCTCTTCAAAACGAGGACCCAACACCACAGGATGGTTGGGAAAAAAAGGGTGCACCCCGCGTGGGTTGGGGGGGGGGCCCTGGTCCGTCCAGTCCCTCTCCCCGCCCCGCTCTCTCTCTCTCTCTCTCTCTCCTCCATTCCCCCGAGGTTCGAGGATAGGGGCCTTCGCCCGCGGCATTTCGGATACGCGAGGCGGGAGTCAATGAAGTCGCGCACTCGCGCGTTTACGCGCGGCCTCATCTCCTTGTCGCGCCGCATCTCGTACGGTCATACACACGCAGCTAGCATTAAGTCGGGCCTGTCCCTCTACAGGAGGAATATTCGAAAATAGTCAAACCAGAGTCTGGGACGATTCTTCTACTATTTATATTTATTGTTGGGAGTATTATTTGGGCTATTTGTTTTTCTTCGTCCAGAATCCCCCTGAAGGGGGACATGCCCGACCTAAAGCTAGCATTTACTGTCGAGAACTCATCCGCATACACATGCGAGCCCCAGACATAATCACAAAGGGCTTGAGATCGGCCCGAAGGCCTTCGGTGCCCTGACCGCAATTTCACCGCGCCGTTTTGAGACCTTGGAAGTCCGAATCGCCAGCGACATCTTCAAAGAACGACTCGAATCGCGCAGTCACCCCGAATCCCCACTGACTCATCGCACGACGCTGCCACCGTCGTGGCCGCCGCCGGTCTTCGCTGGTCGTCGGAGACTGTCGGCGGCCTCCGGCGGCCTCCGGCGGCCATCGCCGGCCGTCCGCGGTGATCGGCGGCCGCTGGCGGCTTTCGACGGCCGTCGGCGGCCGTCTGCGGCCCGTCGGCGAGTCGGCGGCCGTCGGCGGCATTCGGCGGTCTCCCGCTGGCCAGATCCGGGCAGCCGCCGCGGAGGGCGCGAGGGGCGGTTCTGTTGCGTGTTCGGCCCTTGGAGGCCTCGGGAACTGAGCGGCCACGTCGGGAGGGGGCAGGTTCAGGTCGGGGGCGCATCAACCCCGAATTGCCCGTTGAGCGCCGATGGGGGCCCGATGACCCCCGATGAACGCTCGGAATGCGCAATGGGGAAGCCGATCGCCGAGCTATCGGCGATGCTTCGCCGATTTCGGGTCGATGCTTTTCGCCCTGAGCCCGTCCCCCCCCGAATTCCCCCTCAAGGCTCCTTCTGGGCCCCAAGCCCGTCAAGAAACGGCTCGGGCTGGGCCCACATCGATTCGACCGATCCGAGTCGATTTCGACTGCGGCCAGCTCAGTCCGATTCGGTTCCGATGTTCTCCGACACTCCGCTGCGACACGATGCTTGCACGGCGGTATTGTGCACCTTGGCGCGGCTGATCTGACGCACGTTCCGACTTGGTCCGTTTTTCCAGATTCGACGCGAGTTGACATTGCAGCCTCCAGGGCACGGTGGCCCGCACCGAGGGCGTGGGTGGGGGCAGGGGGGGTCAGAGAAGAGGATATGAAACCGAGGAGGATGACACAGGAGGGCAATGAGGATACAGGAGGAGGACCAAGGAGGAGGAGGAGGAGGAGGAGGAGGAGGATACATCAGGCACATCGAAAGGGGAATGGGCCTGCCAGAGGGTGCCCTGAGGGTGTTGTTATCATCCCCCTGCGGCCCCCGGACGAACAGAACCCAGGGTGTTTGTGGATCGGAGGCAATTGTGTTCCTCGAGTGTTACATATCGAGGTGCTGTGGTACAGCACCGCTGTACCCGCTGTAACGGTGGATGGGGGGAGAGAGGAGGTTTGGTGTGTGGTCTTTAGGCTCTCGAGGTGTCAAATAATATGTTACGTTGTCGCCTGATACTCGTTTTTTAATCAGCGGTGGGACGTTCTGTTTTCGCTCCACTGTCGTCGCTTGTTCGTTCTGGTTTCGTTTCAGTCTCGTTCGGCTTTCGTATCAATGTCTGTTTAGTGTTGCCCCAGGGCGAAACGTACCAGAACGAAACTGGAACGAACCTGGAACGAAAATCAGGAGCAAGTGCGTCATTGAAGGGTTCGTGACCTTGCATGTGACGGAAGAGGATGAGAAGGACGGAAGGGAATACAGGAGAAGGCGGTAGAGGGTAGAAGACGGGAAGGAGGGTGCAGGAGGTGGCCAGGGGAAGGAGAAGGAGGACACGGGATGAAGAGGAGGACGAGGAGGACAGAGGAGGTTGAAGGGGAGGACAGAGGAGAAGGATTGATGAGGATAGAGGAGGAGGAGGAGGAGGAGGAGGAGGAGGAGGAGGAGGAGGAGGAGGAGGAGGAGGAGGAGGAGGAGGGGGAGGAGGAGGAGGAGGAGGAGGAGGAGGAGGAGGAACTGAGGAGGAGGAGGAGGAACTGAGGAGGAGGAGGAGGAGGAGGAGGAGGCAGGACAGAGGGCACGGGAACAAGCGGCAGGGCCCAGGTTCTCTCGCGCAAGCGGGAGCTGGGCCCCACGGAGCTGCTCTACTGCCTCAGCGCCTTCGCCACCGACCTGTCGCGGTGGCGGCCGGGCGCCAGGGACCTGCCCGGCCGAGCCCGAGGGCGGCGGCTCACGTCGACGACGACGACGACGACGACGACGACGACGACGACGACGACGTGGCAATGACGGCGGCTCGAAGAAAACACAAACATTTTCGGAGCACCGCGCGGACCTCCACGAGGTTATGTTTTTCTCTTCTGCTCGATGGTCTGCGGCGGCGCCGGGGGCGCCGGCCAGCAGCGACGACGAGCGTCGGCGCAGGTGGCGCCAGCGAAGCTAACTCCCCCCCCTCCTCCTGTTCCACGACAGCGGAGCGTGGCCTGTGTGTGGTCCAGACGCGAAAACAGGGGCCGCTTTGGGCTCAGGGAAGGGCCCGGGCTCCTGGGCCGTTCCTTGAGGTCCCAAGTCGGGACCCTAGTCTCAGATTCCTGACCAGGGCTCGTCGTGGCAGGAGAGGCCCTTTCATTCCTGACTCGGCGCCAGCCACTCTTGGCAGCACGATGGCTGTGCTGGTCCCCTTTCTCTTGTGGCAGCACCCCTCCGCTCACCCACCGGCCCCCCAAATGTTGTCCGACACGGCTTTTGTCGCGGCGCCGGCGGTCGCTCAGCACCCAGCCTGCAGGCCGCGGGCAAGACTCTGGGAGCACATTCCGGCGGCCGCTCAGCACGGTCAGAGAGGCAAGTGCCTTCCGCACACACTTTGCCAGGCGAAGCGACTGCGTTGGCGGAAAGAGCAGGTGCAGGGCACACAGGTGCGAATGAGGCCGCAAGGCACGTGGGGACGAGGGGGGAGGCCCGGCAAACACTTTTTCCGTCAGCGGCGCAGCGACGAGCGCCGCTCCAGCGTGAAGCTGGATAGGGGCACCAACTGGCGAAGTGGCCGGCGAGCGAAGAGGGAGGGGGGGACGGCCGAGAGGAAGAGAGGACGCTCAGACGCCGAAGAGTTCGACAACACTCAGGAGGGGAAAAAACACAGAAATAATTAGTCGTCGATCCCCCAGAAAGTATGGGAAAAGATGGGAAGTGGAGGGGGGGAAGACAAAAACCCAGAAAATATGGGAAAAGATGGGGAATCCTGCTGTTTGTGTCTATCTATTTTTGTGTCCCAGGGCCCCTTCACACACACACACACACACACACACACACGCACACACACACACACTCACACACACAGGATTCCCGCGGAGCTCGGCAGGCTCCGGCCGGGCGGCGGGCCGCGCCGTCGCCCCGAGCCTGCGCGCCCTGCGGACAGAGGCCGAGGCGGCGGTGGCCCGCGCGGCCGCCCAGACCGCCCTGGTGGCCCTGGGCGCGAGGCCCCTTTCGAGTGATTTTCTTTTAAAACCAAACATATGTATATATATATATATATATATACATATGTATAGATAGCGTTAAACACACCACAACAAGAGCAGCAGCAACCCATGTTATAGTTATATATAAATATGTGTGTATAAACATGTATAGATATGTACACAAAGCGACGGGAGGTTTTTCGCTATTGTCGGCCTCAGGGGGGCCTTACCAGGCCTCGGGGCCGTCACGGAACGGCTCAGGATGAGAATAGCCAGTCCTGGGGAGTGGGTCTGGACCTCTGGGCCCAGACCCCCGACTTCACGATTCTGCTCATGACCCGATCGCCAGAGGTGATCGTTTTTCATTGTGAGTCGTTTCTGGACTGTCCCAAGGCCCGGTAAGGGCCCCCAGAGGCCGAAACTGGAGCAACACTTGCCGCTGTGGTTTTTTCATGGCTCGAGGGGGGGTCTTCGGCACGGTGGGGGTGGCGTCCTGCAAAAATCATGACGTCGGGGGTCTAGGTCAGTGCAGGCCGGTGCGCCGCGGTGAGCGGGCGGGCTCACGGGGCATTCGCGGGCAGGCGGGGCACCGGCGCGCGAGGCGTGGGCGAGGGAGCGAGGGAGAGGGAGGAGGGGGAGGGAGAGAGGGAGGGAGGCGGCGAGGGAGGGGGGGAGCGAGGGAGGGAGCAAGGGCCAGGGGGAGAGAGAGGGAGGGAGGGAGGGAGGGGGAGGGAGGGGGAGGGAGGGAGAGAGTGAGGTCGAGGGCGGGCGAGAGGGAGCGACGGAGAGGGAGGAGCGGGCGGAGCAGGAGGAGGGTTGCTGCGGTCCTGGAGGCCAGCCCTGGTCCTGATCAGGGCCAGGTTGAGCACCTTGACCGGTCGGGGCCGATCGTCAGTATCGTTTGACCGACCCCCATCCCCATCATCGTCTCTTTCGAGACCCCCACCAAATTACCACCCCAGTTGGGGATGCACCCCTCGAAACCCGAAGGGAACGGCCCATATCCCCATCTAGGGGGGTAAATCTAAATCGGCCAGTGGGGCCTAGGCCATGCCGCTGGGGATGGGGGTCGGATAAACGATGCTCAGATCGATGAGTGTGTTTTGGCTTCCCCTGGGGTTGAGACCTCCATCGACGGATACGTGGTCCACCCCGCTGTCCCCTCCTGTCGGAGGTTGATAGACCTCCTACCCTGACACGTCAATTAGCGAATGGGCCGTTTTCGGTTCGCGAGAGGGCGTCGTGGCCGTCATTTCTGCGGGTCCAGGTCCGTCGGTTTCGGTCCTAGGCCGTTTTCACTAAAGGGTAGTTTATTAAGATGAGGTTTGTCCACCGCCGATTGACCGCTCGCGGCCGATCGATCAGTGTGTTTTGGCTTCCCCTGGGGTTGAGACCTCCATCGACGGATACGTGTCCACCCCGCTGTCCCCTCCTGGCCAGAGGGGGCAGGGTGCGCTGGTGGGATTGCCGCGCATGGGGATCTGAAGCGGGCCATGCGAGGCGTCTCTTTTCCGCGCCCTGCAAGACCATCGCGTCTGAGCGCCGATGGCTTCTCGCGCGCTCCGAAGCACTCCGTTCCGGACTTGGGGAACGTGCAGGGGCGGGGGCCCGATTTGGGGGAGCCTCGTTCCCCCCCGCTCCCCTCGGTGGGAGCGTCTTTCGAGAGGGGGAGTGAGCCCCCGCCTTCTAGGATTCTACCCGCCCCCTGCCTTCTAGACGTTTACCAGCGCCCCTCGGCGCCCAACGTGTCCGTGCGAGTTGTGCCCATGCTTGTTTCTGGGCAGGTGACGAACCAGCCCCATTCTTCAAGGCTGCGCTACACTTGCGCACGGAGCCACCAGTGATGTCAGATCGGGGCACGGCCGCGGGCAGTAAGCAGGTCACTGGAGGCAGATACATCGCCTCACTAATATGCGAGACTGGCGCACACCCGCACGCACACACACACACACACACACACACACACACATAGACACACACACACACACACACCCGAACACACGCACGCACAGACACTCACACACAGAAACACACACAGACACACACACACAGACACACACACACACAAACACGCACACGCACAGACACACACACACAGACACACACACACACACACACACACACACACACACACACACGCACACATACACGAAAGCAAAGCCCATCAGGTCATGCCAATGGGATACAGGACGGAGGAGCAAAAGAGAGTCCTTGGACATAGGCAGGCGGATGCCATTGCCAAGGAATCTGCCGACATGTCATGTCAGATGGCGCTGGAGAGGAGAAGCTGGCCACAAACTACGGCCCTATGCTACCTATGTCTCTTGTTTTTTGTTATGTCCCTGGAGCAACGCGTCTGATGTGTGTTGGGTGAGCTCCCGCGGCCCCAGGGCCCCCAGAGGCTCAGCCAGAGGCAGCATCCGTCGGAGCGGAACCCTTGTGTTAAGTCGGGCGTGTCCCCCAATAGGGAGATGTTCGATGAACAATAAGGATATTCAGAACATGATACCGGAGAAAAACCCCAATGAGGGCTATAGGGCTATAGAACTTAGGGCTATAGGGCACCCCCTGGCACCCCCAGGCACCCCCGGGCACGCCCGAGCAACCGGGCACCCGGACACCCCCGGGCACCCCTGGGCACCCCATATGGGCCCCGGGGCCCCCGGGCACCCCCGGGCACCCGGGCACCCGGTAACCTAACCATATGAATCCGCTAGGACCCAGCTAACCTAACCTTGCCTCGAGGCAAGCTCTGATTAGGGAATAAGCAAAAATGGTCAATGATACCGGAGAAAAACCCAATCTGATTTTTGTTGGGGCAATGGGGTTATATGGGCTATATGTTTATATGGGGTATAATGATATAGGGCTATTGGGCTATAGGGGCTATCGGACCTTAGGGCTATAGGGCTATAGGGCTATAGAGCTATAGTGCTATAGGGCTATAGGGCTATAGAGCTATAGGGCTCTAGGGCTCAGGGCTATAGGGCCATAGTGTTATAGGGCTATAGGGCTATAGGGCTATAAGGCTAGGGCTATAGGGCTATTGGGCCATATGGGCTATATGGGCTATTGGGCAATTGGGCTATTGGGCTATAGGGCTATAGAGCTATACGGCTATAGGGCTATATGGATATAGGGTACCTGGGAGCCCCCGGGCACCTCCGGGCACCCCCGAGCACCCGGGCACCCCGGCACCCACGGGCACCTCCGAGCATCCGGCCACCCGGCCACCGGCCACCGAAATCTTGGGGCACCGGGTACCCACGGGCACCCGGGCACCCGGGCACCCAGCCGCCGGCCACCAAATCGGCGCCGCACCTCACCTAACCATATGAATCCGCTAGGACCCCTACAGAGGCAAGCTCTGATTGGGGAACAAATATTCAAAAAATAGTCCCCATACTATTTTTAACGATGTTGGAATGATACCGGAGAACAACCCCGATCATGATATTTTTAGGGCTGTAAGGCTATGGGGCTATACGGTTATATGACCATAGGGCTAGGGCTATAGGACTATATGGCTATAGGGCTATGGGAACATAGGGCTATAGGGCTACAAGGCAATAAGGCTATAGGCCTATAGGCCTATAAGGGCTATAGTGCGATTGGGTTATAGGGCATAAGGAATATAGGGCTATAGGGCTATAGGGCTATTAGGGCTATAGGGCTATAGGGCTATAGGGCTATAGGGCTATAGGTCTATAGGTCTATAGGGATATCGGGCTATAGAGCTATATATGGGTTCTAGGGCGATAGAGCACCCAAGCACCCCGGGGCACCCGGGCACCCCGGGGCACATCCGGGCACCCCTGGGCACCTCCGGGCACCCCTGCATTGGCACCCGGGCACCCCCAGGTACCCCTGGGCACCCGGGCACCCGGGCGTGCGGCGAAAATCGGCGGCAAACCTAATTTAACCATATGAATCCGCTAGGACCATTACAGAGGCAAGCTCTGATTGGGCCTGTAGAGGGACACGCCCGACTGTCCGACTTAACCCTTTGTGTCTGGATGTTGAAGCGCTGGCGGTGCACAGGGCGGCAGAGCCGTCGCGAAGCTCTCCTCTTGCCGCAGAGAGGGCCCTGCGCACCCCTGTCCAGATGTTTGCCCTCTCTGCTCGCTCTCTCTCTTGACGGAGAGCCGCCAGAGCCAGCTCGTGCTCTGTGGGCTGGGCGACATCGCGCGACTGGAGCAGAAGGGACTATTTTTGTTAAATCGGGGCCGTCTCTCTACAGGAAGGAGATTCAAAAATAGTCAAAAAGGGATTATGTTTAAACTGTGTTCGAGCATGTTGGGAATCTGTTTTGAGTATCCCATCTCGAGTTTAGCCTTTCTGGGTCCAACGCCACGTGACGGCTTGGTCACCTTGTGGAGGGGTGCGCGACCCTTGAGCACGTCAAGCTCCGTATGCTTCGTAACTGCAAGCTCCCGTGCCCCAGAGGAGTTCGGTTCTCGCAGCCCTAGCGGGCAATTTCGGGCCAAACGACCTTGGAACATTTCCAGGGCTCCTGACGTGTTTGGTTGTTTATGCTTTTCTGGGTTGAGCTTCCCGCCGTCACCGCCCACCTGCTGCGGTTGGCCGTTGACGGAAATGTCCCTAGAATTGTTTGTTCGAGTTATACCCCGCACAGGTGGGGAAAGGTTCCGTTCAGCGAATAATTCTTTGTTATGGAGTTGTATGTACGTATGTATGTGAGAAGGGGGAGGAGGAGGAGGAGGAGGAGGAGGAGGAGGAAGAGGAGGAGGAGGACGACAAGTGTAAACCCAAGAGTCATCAACGATGTTGGAATGTACCTTCCCTCCAAGCTCCCTCTTCATAGGCTCCTACAACGGTTCATTTCCATTGAGGAAACTGCCTCGTTGCAGGACATCCGTTTGAAGAGCCTGAAGCGTGCCAAAACATGGTTCTCTAGATTTCAACGGCACGTAGCAACCTGACTGCTGCGTCTTGACGATCTGGAATCATGCCAGAACGCCACTTTGGGGATTTCAACACCGCGAATCAACAGAACTGTTGCGCCCGCATAGTCCTGAACCCTTCCAAAACACCACTTCTCGTATGTTGATCATGCGAATCCGTGAAACTCCAACGAATGTGCGCGGCGCTAAGGCGAGAGCCACATTTTGAAAAGGAGCCGCCCTCAAGCTGCCAAACTCTTGCAAGTTTTTAAAACGAATGTGCGCGGCGCTCATGTGAGAGGCACATGTTGAAAACGACCTGCCCTCAATCCGTGAAACTCTTGCAATTTGCGCGGCGCTAAGACGAGAGCCACAGTTTGAAAACGACCCGTCCTCAGTTCGCGAAATTCTTGCCGTGTTGAAAACGAATGTGCGCGGCGCTCAGGCGAGAGGCACATGTTGAAAACGACCTGCCCTCAATCCGTGAAGCTCTTGCAAATTCAGAAAGCGAATGTGCGCGGCGCTAAGGCGAGAGCCACATTTTGAAAACGACCCGCCCTCAATCCGTGAAACTCTTGCAAGGTTTGAAAACGGATGTGCGCGGCGCTAAGGCGAGAGCCACATTTTGAAAGCGACCCGCCCTCCAACCGTGAAATCGCGATCACTTTAAAAGTTTCAGAGTCATAAACGGTGAGGAAGTCTCAGGCAAAACGCCTGGCCCGCCCAACAAATTGGCCTCGGGTGCGACAGGGAGAAAGATGGAACGAAGGCAGAGGAGAAGGAGGAGGAGGAGGAGGGGGAGGAGGAGGAGGACGAGGACGAGGACGAGGAAGAGGAGGAACAGGAGGAGGAGGAGGAGGAGGGGGCGGAGGAGGAGGAGGAGGAGGAGGAGGAGGAGGAGCGCTGGGGAGGCGGAGGAGGAGGATGGAAGCACGACGACGACGACGACGATTGCGGGCCCGTTTCTCCGCCTCAGCCCAGCAGCGAGGACGCCCCTCACTGGAGGGTAGCCCAGGCTCTCTTCCTCGAGGCGGGACCCCCGAACGCCTCTCCGCAGCTCGGCAGTCTGTCTCGCGGGTGGCGGGGGGCGGATCTCCAGCGCGGGGGTGGGCATCTCCAAGCCCCCAGCCATGCTCGAGCCACGACAAGGCACGACGGGAGCTAGAAAGGGTTCCTTCGAAAGGGCTCCTTGGTCAGATTCCTCGTGAGGGTTCCCTTTTGTAGAGGTTCCCTATGTGGAAACTGCGTCCTCGTGTTCGGCCATCGTGGGCCTCCAGCGGGCCCTGGGGCCACATGGAGAAGCTGGGGGCGGACAGCGGCCCGGGGGAGAGGGCAGGGACTCCCCGAGACCCTTGATGGAACAAATCAAAGCATCGCAGGCTTCGGTCTCGAGGCTCGAGGTTTTCAGACAATGTCGTCGGTTCCTGGCGATCGTTGTCTTAGTCACTGTTCTGCCGATCAGCGCGGGCCCTCGCACCCCCCCTGCCCTCCCATGGAGTGGATTTGGGCTGTTTCGGGCGCCTGTTTCACGCAGGGGGAGTCTCCCCCATAGGACGCACTGCTGCAAACAGCCGCAGTGAGCACAGCTCCGGAGCCAGACCCCCCCTTCTCCCCCCTTCCGCCCAATGCCGAAACGCTGAGTGAGAGATCGTTCGCCTGGAGATCTTCAGCCTCATGAAATCTCGGGGCCCGCGCAGATCTCGTTGGTGCGACAGCGGCCCCCCCCCCACCCAGGGGGCGAAGCGAGGAGGAGGTGGTGGAGGAGGAGGAGGTGGTGGAGGAGGAGGAGGGCGCTGAGAAGAGGAGAGGAGGAGGAGGGGGAGGGAGGAGGAGGAGCGAGGAGGAGGAGGAGGAGGAGGAGGAGGATGAGGAGGAGGGCGCTAAGAAGGAGGAGGGAGGAGGGAGGGAGGAGGAGGAGGAGGAGAGGAGGAGAGGAGGAGGAGGAGGGGGGGGGGAGGAGGGGAGGGGGAGGGGGAGGAAGGGGAGGAGGAGGAGGGGAGGAGGAGGAGGAGGAGGAGGAGGAGGAGGAGGAGGAGGAGGAGGAGGAGGAGGAGGAGGAGGAGGAGGAGGGAGCTGCGCCTCGCCGAGAGCGCTCCTGGGGTGGCCGGAGCGTCCCGGGCGGGCCGCCACTTAAGTGGTGGCCAGAAGGCCGCCGAGCGTCCGAGGCCTCCGCCGTTGAGCAGGGTCGAGTCGGGCACGTGCCTCTGCAGGGGGGAGCACAGTTGTCAAACTACCCACCAAACCACCCCAACCCAACCGGAAGGCCTCAATTTGCCCTCCACTTCCAGGGGGGTTGGGTCGGAGTGGGGGCGCTTACCAAGAAACCATGTACTGTTCGTAAGGGTACCCTGGGCTTCTTGGAGGTTGATAGGCCTCCTACCCTGGCACGTCGATTAGTGAGTTGGCCGTTTTCGGTTCGCGAAAGGGCGTCGCAGCCGTCATTTCTGCGGGTCCATGTCCGTCGGTTTCTGTCCCAGGCGGTTTTCACTAAAGCTTGGTGTGCTAAAGGGAGGTTTGTCAATCGCAGAGTTTCTTCGCTCCGAGCGCTGCGCGGTGACCTCCCGCGGCCGTCAAAGGAGCTGCTGCGTTCAGGGTACTGCGTGTTCTCCCTCAGGTGCAACTCGAGCGCGGGTTTTCAGGGTTGGGCTTCTTTCGAGGGTTTCTTGCGACCGCGCCCGCACTGTATTAAGAAATAGTCGAATCGTCTGGGGGCGATTGTTTGATTACGTTTTGACCATTTTCGGGTATTTGTTCACTATTTGTCATTTGTTCCCCAGAATCCGCCTGTAGGGCGACATGCCCGACCGAAGAGTAGGGCTGGGGGGTCTGGTCTGCAGAGTACCCCAAGCGGACTTCAAGGGGCGCAACCAGCCTGTTCGGTCAAGCTGTAATTGATGCACCACACCAGGCGTCAAGCCAAAACACTGGACATAGGCGAATGGTTGGACTCCGCACAGCTTCGTCGGCTTAACCGGCGAGGCGATGAACCACCTTTTTATGATGACCCCGCTCCGCGCGCTTTTTCTCAAGCAGAGCGGGTGCCCTTCGCCGTGTTCGGCCTCCAGTACCCCGGCGGACCGCCCACAAGGCGGCTCGGGATGAGACGCCTGCCCCATGGGAAGGGGGGTGGGGACCTCTGGGCTCTGGGAGGGCCCGTGCCGAAACAGTCGTGGCAGGGGTGGACCCGAACGGTGCTGTGGCGATTTCGTGGGCCGTCGTCGTTTCGAGGTCGTCTTGAAACGAAGAAGGAAAAACGCCATAAACATAAACTTTCGACGCTCCGCGCGAATCTCTTGAATCCGCGCTGGGCCCCCCCGGCGGCGCCTCCGGCGCCGCCCCTGGCGCTCTCCGCGCGCCAGGGAGGGGCTTCCAGCGCAGATCCAAGAAATCCTCGCGGAGCGCCGAAAGTGTAGGTTTATCGTATTCTTCTTATTCTATTGAGAAGCAAAGGCGGATTTTAGGACAACGCGAGGGAGCACGAGGACGAAGCGTGAGCGAAGCACCTTGTGCAGGTCGAGCCCTGAGCTGTGCGGGCGGCGAGCTCGCGGGGCGAGCTCGAGCCCGCTCGCCCCAACCGGGCTTCGAGGCTCGAGGACGTTTCTCTGGGGGCCGCGTGGAGGCGTCCTCGTCGCCACGAGACTCTGGTCGGGATGCACCCCGGGAGCAGGAGGAGGAGGAGGAGGAGGAGCAGGAGCAGGAGGAGGAGGAGGAGGAGGGGGAGGAGGAAGCGGAGGGGGAGCAGGAGGAGGAGGAGGAGGAGGAGGAGGAGGAGGGAGGAGGCGGAGGGGGAGCAGGAGGGGAGCAGGAGCAGGAGGAGGAGGAGGAGGAAGAGGAGGAGGGGGAGGAGGAGGAGGGGGAGGAAGAGGAGGAGGAGGAGGAGGAGGAGGAGGGCGTGGAGGAGGAAGGAGGAGGAGGAGGAGGAGGACCTTCTCATCCTCCCTTCTCCCCCGTCCTACATATAGTAGCGGCGGGCAGAATTTGCCCACCAAAGAGGAGAAGGTGGAGGGCGAGGAGCAGTAACGCAGAGGCAGCACATGGCTGCCCCCCCGGGTTGTGAAGCTCGGATTCAAGATCGACTCCGAGGTCCTCAATTATTGGCGTGGCCCACAGATCACCTTCAGAAGACGATACGATTGCAGTCGAGTGTGTTCACGCGCGTTCAGCCTTCATCACGCCGCAGCCCAGCGTAGTTTGCAAGCAGCCCGTGGCAGTGTTGTCAGCTCCTACGCACCTCCTCTTTCCCCTTCCCCGTCCTGCTCGTCGTCGTCGTCCTCCTCTCTGTGAGTAGCAAGTCTTGACGCTTCGCGTATCCTCACCAGCCCATTCGGGCACGATCGGATGCTTTCGTAAGGCCTCTTGGAGGCTATCTTGAGCCATGCTCGGCTAGAGGCTGCCGGAGGCTATCCTGAGCCATACACAGCTATTTGGGGCCATCTTGAGGTTGTCTTGAGGCCTTTTGGGAGGTCTGTCAGAGGCTATCTTGAGCCATGCTCGACCTCCTGGGACCATCTTGGGGGTAGGAGGAAGCAGAGGAGGAGGAGGAGGAGGAGGAGGAGGAGGAGGAGGAGGAGGGGGAGGAGGAGGAGGAGCTGTCTTCCCCGTGCCCAGGTCAGCGAGCCCTTGTGTCCTGGGGTGTGCGGGTGCTGGCTAACCTGGCACGGGAAAGATACCAAGTCAATCACACGTGGCACACTCTGGATCAGCCCTGGAGGACCGCTCGCCTTGTGAGGGCAGGCGAGGTCTCTTCCTCCCGTGCTCACCTTTTAGTGGTGTCTGACCCTGTCGGGTAGCCCGTCGTGCCATCCGCCGAGGGCTGTTGCATATGGCCAACGTAACTTGTCCGCAGGGCTGCATCGAGGAGGGAAAAAAAGAGAGAAGGAGGATGAGGCGGAAGAGGAGGAGGAGGTGGAGGAATGCAGCACGAGGGCGACGAGGAGGAGGAAGGAGGATGCAGGAAAGGAGGAGGGAAGGAACGGACGATGACAAGGAGGATGAGAAGTCGGGCTTTGGAGATATGCTGTTGTGAGAGATTCTTGGAGGACGGTCAAAGCCATCGTAGGGGCTCTCTTGGGGTCCCCGTCGGGCTTCTTGGGGCCTTCTTGGGGCTCATGTTGGGAACCGTTGGGCCCTCTAGGGGCCACTGGAGGGGTCTGGGAGGCCTATTGGGCCCCAAGGCTCAAACAGAGGGGGGGTTAACCAATTCGGGTCCCCCCTCGGATACTCGAGCATTGCGTCTTAATTCCCTCTTGGGCCTCCCTTGGAGCGTTCTTGGGGCCCTCTTGGGCCCCGTCTGGGACTCTCTTGGGCCGTCTTGGGGCCTCTCCAGGCCTCAGAAAGTAAATCGGAAACGAAAAGCAAGAATGCAAAACGCATTGATTGGTTTTGGTTCTGAAGTATGCGAACCTCGTGGCGGGTGCCTCGGAAGGCTTGAAAGGCACATGACACCGTCTTGGGGCTGCCTTGGGGCCTCTTAGAGGTATGTAGGATGCCAGATTGGACCACCTTCGGCTATCTTGAGCTATCTTGGAGGCCGTCTTGGACTGCCGAGGGCGTCCCTCTTGGAGCCATCTTGGGCCCATCTTTAAACTCTACCTACCCGCCCCTCCCCCCCCGAGGCCCAGGGGACGGGGGTAGGGGGGAGGCGCCGGGGCCACCCATTCGCCCGCAAGCCGCTCCGCTCCCTCCCACTGGCCCTCCCAACGCACGAGCAACACCTGAGGGAGTCTCAGAACATTGCCGGGGAGTGCCGTGCACGCCGTGCGCGCCACGGGTTCCAGGTGCGCCGGGCACCCTGGAGGCCTGGAGGCCCAAGCGAGCCGCGCGCGCGCGCCGGGTGCGGCACGCGCTCCACGTTCAAACCACATGCCGGCACCCCCGCCGCCCCTGTCTAAAAAAGCCAGTGCAAAGCTGGTCGCGGGGCGCCCGCGCCTGCTCCAGGGTGGGGGACGCATGCCCTTCGAAACCCGAGGGACAGAGCCCATCGCCCCATCTAGGGGGGGCAAATCGGCCAGTGGGACACAGGCCACGCCA